GTACTCGTAGCGCCATCTGTTGGACATAAAAGCCTTAACCTAGATTATATCTTTTAATTTATATGAATGTTTAACGGAATAATATACAGCCTATGTCCACCCTGAAGTTCCGTTCTAAATATTGGTGAAAGAATTTTTGAAATCGGATGAGTAGTTTCGGAGATTACCTGCTGCAAACAAACTTACATACATATACATACAAACATTACCTCTTTATAATATTAGTATAGATTAAGACAATTTAATTTTTTCATATATATTTAAAATAACCTATTATTTTTTTTGTTTATAATTAAAAAAGGATTTTTTCCTTCCTATTTATTATATATATTTTCTTCTGCACGCTGTTTAACTATTATTTAAAGTTAATCCAACGGTATTAACTTTAAATAATACAACGAATTACACAAAAATAAAAAACAAATAGCAGGAAATAGGAAATGACGACAATGTGAAAATTTTTTAGCCTATAAAAACAGTTTATCTGTATTACTTTGAGTTGTTTTCTTTTTTTTTAATCTTATTTAATGAATGTGTTTTGGCAGATTATTATACCAAATTGAATTAGACATTGGTAATAATTGGATGAATTAATGTAAGTTTGTGTTATTTTAAATTTATTAACTTTTACTATAAAATTTCCATAATTTAAGTAAATTAATCCATTAGTTTTTTATAACATTTTAGTTACAATTTAAAATATTCTTTCATTCCTTCTGATGATAATTGAATTTTTTAAGTCTATACATTTCAAATTCCCGTCCTATACTCCGATTTACAACAACATAATTCGTAGTTTATTTCATAATGTTGATTTTTTCCCAACAGCCTAATTACAAAATTCATTTCGAAAAGAGCAGTTGCATAGGCCTACATATAAGCGTTGATTATAAAACAATTTTTTTGCATATTCAGGACATAAAATTAAAAATATACGTATATTACATAACCTTAAAATTCTGTATTTAAAATTTACAATTTGTTATCACATAACTATGACTATTTGAAATCCAATTCCATGCACATAACGCCTTAAACCTAAATAACAAATATAATCTGTTCTGTCCGACTTTGTTTAAATTTTTACTAATCAATATATACAATTAACCTAGGCCTCCTGCTCCTAAGCTTTTCATATGTGGTCTCAACTTTCATCTATCGAACGTCTTTCTCGAGATTAAGCAACGACAGACAGCCAGACGGACGACAGTGGAAAGTCTAATTTTTCTCAAATTGCAGCCCATTTTCATTTGGCTACAGTTTGAAAAAATGGGCTGAAAAATGGGATTTTAAAAAGATTTTGGATGCGGTTTGATTGTTCTAGTCTTGGATCGAGTCCTTATGTGACAATACGAGGACTCGAGTTGAGACTGTATAAAGTTGTTTATAGTTTTATAAACAGTGGGGACCGATTTGTCGGTAACGGAACAAACCAAAATCATGATATAATGTTTGACAAGGTAATGAAAACCATAAAAACAGTAAACTATAAACTAAAGCTATAAAGTTATTAATGAAATTTAGTCAATTGGAAATGAAATTGTGTCTGGCAAATGTTTTTCGCCATTTTCGCTTTTGTCTTTGTGAAGAATCGAAGGTTGGAATTTTTAAATTTCACAAAAAAATATTTTTAAATTAATATTTTGATTCATTTTTATAATTCAATCCCAATTTCAGATGGTGATGGATTTTAGTTTTGGTTTAGACGTCCATAGTCCTAAAGAAGTTATTTTAAAAATGGAATGCAGGAATTAAACTATTTGTTGCTTAAGTTTTAATAATACTTTTTAATTATTACATTTTCGATAAAATAATTAAATGTAATTAATAAATATTCAAAAAAGAATAATAAAATTATGTTTCTAATATTATTTTGCGTATGGTATTGTACTTTTTTCATTCTTTCAGTCTTGAGGACACTTAGAAGTTCTTTTACTAAGTCCACCGTTGGTTCTGCCAGGCCCTGATATGTCGGGCCCTGTCCCTCACCACCCGGCTGCTCCATTGTGGGCCTGGCCGAATGCATAATGGGCTTGCTATAAAAGGCCTTCTTAGTGCCCACAGAGAGGATGGCGTTAAAAAAAAGCATTGTACAAATTTATTTTACGATTTATAATATATTTNTAACGGAACAAACCAAAATCATGATATAATGTTTGACAAGGTAATGAAAACCATAAAAACTGTAAACTATAAACTAAAGCTATAAAGTTATTAAATAAATTTGATTTACAATTTGATTTCAAAACAACTTTTAAGTGATACTGCAGATGTTTCCAACTTATTTTTATGTTATTTGTGCATATTACTATATATTAACGGATTTTTCGATAGTCAGGACCTTTAAGTGGTCACTGAATGTTTGCGACATCGCTTCGGCGATGACTACGTCAGGATAGAAGACACTGCACAAGCAACTAGGACTGTTTTTGTTTAATGTCCGTGTTGTTACTAGTTCACGCAAGCAGTCACCGGTACAGGCGATCGATATTCGGGATGGAAGAAATCTTAGAGGCGGCACGTCGGAAGTGAATTACTCGGATGTCAATTTAACAACTAACAGCCGTTTAATTTCAAAGAAAAAGAGCACACGATACAAACTTAGACCAATTAATTAATATCTTGCGATCTAACGTAAGTGGTCGCGAGAGAGAGAGAGAGTTTACAATAAATCACGCGTAGATGTAACTACTGGGGTTTGAAGGATCCACTTGTCCACGTGGTAACCTCTCTGTCCTGTGAGTAGAGATAAAATCTAGGATTGTCCCGAGTTTCGGCGACGAAGTTAGTCCTACTCGGAGGCAACAAAGTATTTCAATGTGGCAATGGCAATGTATTCAGTTTCGGAGACACGGAGTTAACGGTATCGGTCGAGGCACTGAGCATTTCCGCTGTCATAGGTCGGGTGACGACTGTAACCCTCGCAAATTGTTGAGTGATGGAGGAACCGGCGGCGACTGCTCCATTCTGCCGACAATTCTGATATTAAAACGGTAGCGCACGGCCTGGGGTCAAAGGATCACGAAGGAAAAGGTCAAAGGAAAGCGTCGCTTTCGCCTTTGAGAACATGAAAAATGAGAAGTTCTCAGATAGTAAAGGATAATCATCAACGATAGTCATCAAAATAGGTATGATGAAATCGTTGTTATGTTTTTTATTGAAGTCCAGGTTTTCACATGTTTATAGCTAAATACGCTTAGTTTTTTTGTTATGTAAAAATAATAGACTTTTGCGAGAATCTGGAGATATAATTCAAGATCTATTTAGAATTTAATATAATTATTTAACGATTTAAACAAATTATTTAATTAGGAGAACGACCTATAAAANTTGTTGATACTTCCATTGTCGAAACCTTAATTCTGTCCCTCTCTCCCTGGGGGAGAATTTCGTAAAATTCCTTTTTAGTGTGCGTTCTCGTGACGTACCCTAACTGTGTAACAAATTTCAACTTTCAACTTCTAACCGTTTCGGCTCTGCGTTGATTGTTATTACAGTATTATTATTATCAACCCGTCTCGATTAGATTGTTTAAAACGTTAATAAAAATTATTTAACGATTTAAACAAATTATTTAATTAGGAGAACGACCTATAAAATAAAATAACTCTCGAGATTGAAAGAAGGGGGAAATGACACTTCCTTTCTGGTTAGAAAGATAAGACCACTTTCCGTAGTAAAATCAGTCCTATCACTTGTTTATAATACAGCTGTTAGTTCGAGTAACCCCCCTAAATCCAGTCACACGTGTAACAAATTAACGCCTGATTGGAGGAGATTCGGGGATAAAAAAAGTAAACATCCTGTTCTCGAGGCTCTCTGGTCTCGAAAGTCGCTCCCTGATCCACATTAAAAAGAAAATTTCATCGGAAGACATTCCACTATTAACAAGAGGTATTACTCACTACTCATTGTAAACTCTCTCTCTCTCTCGGACAAATAGAGGTGTAATTAGTTAGCCTGTCCACGTGGATACGTATATTTTTTGTCGCTTTGTATTTATTTTACTTTATTTTACTCATTAAACTTTTGTTATTTGTTAAAGTGGGTTGGAGTAGATTTACGTTTAAAAGGATTCATGAATCCTCCCATTCGAACGTTATTGAAGAAATTGATACTCGAAAATTTTATCACCTTTAAAAACTATGTGACGTCGGAAAAGTAATTAAAATCTATTCCAGTACACCAATGTATATTAAAAAGAACATATTCAATATATATATAAACAAAATTAAATTACGTACAAATGACATAACAGACCAAAACGTAAAAGTCGAGCACATATACCGCATCATTCAATTAAATAACTACCCCAACAAAATTATTAACATACAGCTGCATAACCATACAATGCGTATCCTTACTAAATTATAGAAAATAAACGTACTTTTTCCATCAAAAAGGAGTGTTCCTGTGTTATCTATTCTCAACAGGAACACTTTCGAAGGACATATAAGATTTCACCCTATCCATAGAAATAAGAGCAAAAACTAATACAAATTTATTTGAAATACAGTAGTTAAGTTAAAAGAAAAATCACGATATTATTACATTGGATACATGCTATTTATTTTATTTATTCATTCATTTTTCATATTCATAAATTGCGAATAAATTTGAATAGATCTAAAAGTATGCCACAGAAATGCAGTATCAAATTTATACTTCCGGTAATAACAGATATAGAAGTTTGATACCTCAGGTATATTAATCTATCTAAACCCTGCATTTTTGCGTGCTATTTTGATAATTTAACCTTTGAACTTTAAAGATAAAAACAGTTGTAACTTTAATATTTTAAAATAATAATGTATATCTTGCGGCATGAATCTTTGAAAGATTCTCATGCGGAATTTAAATGTACTTCTTCATTTAAAATCTTTTCAATGACAATGCTGTAGGTTATTTGCTTAATTTATTAAAAAGTATGAGAGTTTTGGACATTTCTGCTGTTATTCTATTAAGATTGACAGGCAGAAGCGCATACAATAATACAATGATCTATTAAGTATTGAAAATTAGTGAAATACAGTATAACGAACATCAAATCTGACGTAAAGAAACAGATCGAAAGTATCTCCACACAATTCTCCACGAATAGATAAAATTTTGATAATTTTATTTGTACAGTTTAAAGATATTTTTTTTCAAATTTATATGGGTCTAGACTAGAGACTGATTGTTAACGGTATTTAATTTGTAAATAATTGAGCTGCAATTTGAAACAATTCTAGTCCTATAAATTCACACTGTCGTTCGCCCGTCCGTACTTCGTCTATATTTCCTTAATTTCAAGAACGGAGAAAGACGAGACCAGATATGGAAACTTTATGAACAGGAGGCCCCGATTAACTGAATACGAACCGGAAGTCACGTTACTTCAATTTAAAATTTTCCTCTGAAAGCAGTTAATAGATGACCAGAACGACTCAACTCTTAAAGAAAAAGTATTATGTACAGGGAAGGGAAATACACTACAATACTAATTCGTAGTAAACAGCATATACATTTTAAATTATTTTAGATTAAATTACTGTATTTTAAATTACATAAATGAAAAATAGGATTAAAAATTGCAGCCCGGTATTGTGACGATAAAACAATAAATAATTGTTCGTTTATATTCAAAAATATTAAATTAAAATTAAATTTAAAAAAAATCGTCGAACCGGTGTTTAGATTTAATTCTATGTAGATAATTTCAATATGTTTCGATTTTCGATTTATAAATTTATAGTAAAAAAATTTCATATCATATGAAATCACAAAATGAAAAAGTAAAATAAGGTACTGTAAATTGTGCTAATTTACAAATTATTATCTAGCTTTGCATACAAAGAACTCTCTTTTCTTTATAATTTAATATTCTGCTGTTATAAAATTATATATCAATTATGTTATAAATAAAAATATCATTACGAGAAAATTCTATTTCTGACATCAATTGTGTATCTAATGCAATATTTTTAAAAAATTTATCTCTTTTTATTTTATTTTATTTTGCAGCATTACAGTATAATAATAACGTATATCGTCAATAAATTTGAAGTTCAAATGGACTACTTTCTATTTCTACTTTCTACATATTGGATTATTGGATTTTTCATCGCTTTAATATCAGTTACTTACATGTAAGGTTTTTCATTTTCCTCTCATAAGTTCCAACAATTATTAAATATTCTAATTAACATACTAATATACTAACATACAACTAACTAACATTTAATTTAAATACTTTAGTTATCTCAGCATAGTGTATAGCTACTGGAAAAGAAGAGGAATTCCTTCACCAAAAACAACGTGGTTGTTGGGTTCATACGGGACAAGATGGAAAGAGGTACATTTCTTATTAATACATTTATTTATAACTAAATGTAATATAAAATATTTCAAATTTACTTTTATATTGTTAATTTAATACGTAATTTCATATAAAATATGTATTTTTAAGCCTCAAGGTTATATAGAATTGGAATGGTATAAGAAATATGGAAGAATATTTGGGTACGTTGTATCTTAATTTATAATTGATTTCGTTTCTGTTTTGTATTAAATTATCGCCATTATTTATATTCTCCAGTATTTACGAAGGATTAAATCCCATTCTGATGGTTTCTGAACCGGAATTAATTAAAAATATATTGATAAGAGACTTCAATAAAATACCGAATCAAAAAGTTAGTAATTTTGTTATTTAATAATAAATTTTAATTCTGATTTTTAATTGTTTTTTTGAAAAAATTAATAATAATTAGCGGTGGAAATTTGGAGATCGAATTATCGATAATATGGTTATCACAATGGAAGATGAGGAATGGAGAAGAGTAAAATCTACTCTCACGCCAATATTTAGCATTGCTAAAATTAAAAAGGTAACAAACTTAAAATTGTAAATTATTATAATTACAAAATTGATTTTATTTCGAAAAT